ATGTGTTCCTGGGAAACAACTCCTGCCTATGGGATGCTCACGCCATACCTGGAGGTCCCCAGGGAAGGTTTAGAGATCAAAAGGTTGAGAGATCAAAGATTAGTTTTGTCATCTTCCCCAATTTTTTGGTAAACATCTTTTCACTTCCCATCCTTGATGTATTAAAGATGCTGAACATGTCCCAAGTGTATCTTTTCATCAACCCCATCATATTCATATCTGGAGCATCTTGGGTGGATAGCCAACAAAATCTGTCTTTCTACTCTCAGACTAGAGGTAATAAAAGAAAGGTAGCAAGGAGACAAGAAAATCATAGCTAAAACTTTTACTGTTGAGAAGACAGCAACTTCTGGGAAGTCACCCAAGGCAATCCACATCAACATTCCTTTGGTTATGTTTAGGCTCCCTTCCTTTCAGACTAACATGCCCAAAATTCCTCCAGAATACTGAAAACATACAAATTGGCTTAACTGAGAAAGTCAGGAGCACCAACCGGATCCTGCAATAAAGGAGCAGCTTGAGAGAATCAAAAGAATACTTAAATTACCTTTTCAGAACACAAAAACCATAACAACCTGTGCCTGCACCTGTACAATGGGCTGCTATGGGGGGGTGCTTTTTCTGCACAGACTATCCACCCTTTTAAGACAAGAATAAATGTTCCCTCTTCCTGGAAATAATATGCCTCTTTCTCCATGGCCCACACTCTCTTGGGTTGTGTGCTAAAATTTCTGCCTAATAAATCCTTCCCTGGCCTCTTCCTGATGCATCTTGAATATTCTTTTTCTGTGACAGCAATCGGTGAACCTGCCACCCTAGCCTTTGTTTAGGGTGGGATGGGTTCTTTATCTCAGTTTCAGGAACCTCCTCGGATCCAGTGCAGTGCCAGACACACCCACCTGTGTACTCCTGAGAACTCTGTCTCACTGTTTCACAGCAGTTGTTCTAGTGTAATGGAGATTTCTGAATATATGTCTCCCTCTATAAGAACTTCACGTTTCTGGTGGGCGTTATCTAAGGTTTTCTTTTTGTTTTTCTTCACCTTCCTTCTAATAGTATTCTTCTTTGATTAAATGAGTGAATAAGTGAATGAATGAGTTACCTCTTCTTCTCTTAAAAGTGTTCTGGATTCTAGCCATATCAGTCTACTTATTTCTCTGGAAATGAACTATCTGTTTTCTTCAAATCTTTATTGCATTTTGTTCCCCAAAGATACATTCAAATCTTAACCTCCTGTGCTTGTGCTGGTGACTTTATTAGGGAAAAGGTCCTGACAGATTTAATTAAGGGATGGATTTCAAGATAAGATCATCCTGCATGATCTGTGTCAAAGAAAAGTTGCACTGGATAAACTTAACCAGCAGAAAAAATTTTACTGGTGACTGTTGAAATAAAAAAGAGAAGTTGGATTCAAATCTCCTGAAACAAAAGCCTGGAGAATATTTTTTACTGGTGTGTGTTACCAGTACAGAATGTTAGGATTTGTTTGGGAAAGTTGGTGTATGCATATTAGGGTGAGCTAATGGAAAGAAGAGGAAAGTAGAGAGAGTGGCCGGTCAGTGTGATTGGGTCAGTGTGATGTGTTTGCCAATTATCACTCGTCTAGGTTAGGCTCCTTGACTTTGCACAGAGAACGGGAACTCAGGCTCTCTCCCCTGCATTCAAAGGAATGGCTCCAGGTCCTGCTCCCAGGTCTTCCAGGCCCTAAATGCTAAAATTGTCCAGAGCCTGGGAGGAGATTTACTTTTGAAAGGGCTGAGAGAGAATTTGCAAGGGAAAGTTTTCTAAAGGAAATTTTACAAAGAAACCAAGAGGACATTTGTCTAAAGTTCAGTCAAACCAAGGCAAATGTTAAGGCCGTCCTGGTTATGTGGGCCTTAAATCCAGTGGCAATAGCCCTGTATTCGTGGGTGCCCTATAAAAGGTGCCCAAGGAGAAGACATAGAGTCACAGAAGGAAAAAAACGTGAATGCAGAGACAGTTAAAACCGATGTATCCACAATCTAGGAGTACCAAGAATTACCAACAGCCCACAGAAACTGAGAGAGACGAGGAATGACTGGTTACTCTGTCTATTTTCCTCTTCTTTCCCATTAGCTCACCCTGTCAGCAACTTGAGCTAGGATTTTTGGCCTTCAGAACCATGGTAAATATATATATTTTTTTAATATTCTCAGAATATAGTACGTTTTTGAAGCAGCAAGAAGAACCTTACATACTCTTTTTCTGGAAGTGTTTCTCTACTTCCCATTTAATTTAAGAGACCAAAGTTACATCTCATTTAAGGTTCATCAAAATTGTTTTGTCCTCCATTCATTTTTCCTATAATAAATACCACCAGCTAAAAACCATAGCTTCCTCTGACAAATTCTGTCTATAATAAAGGTGATAAAGATATTACAGTTGAAATGTTTACAGTTTTACATCTTATCTCTTTTTACAGGTTTGCAACTTATCTCTTTTTAATTTTTACAAGTCAGGGATGATGATTTTTCCTCTAAGGATAAAGTAACACTAAGTAGCAAGCCAAAACTGGCTTTGAGATCTGGCTGAGTACAAAGCACATTTGCTGAGTAGTTCCCTCCCACTCTGCCATAAAGAAGGATAGACTTGAGATTTTTGTAGGAAAATGCATGCACTCTGAGACCATAATTTTAAGTAAGATAAATCAGACAAACAAGCTTAAATATTGGGTGGTTTCTCTTACATGGGAAACCAAAATATGGACAAGAGGAAAAGGGAGATAGATCTTTTATAAAGGAGACCAAGAGATGGGAGGAGGGGAAGGGAGGAAATGGGAGGAGATGAAAGAAGAATTAAGATGTGTTCACATGTACTTGAGGCTACTGTCCACTAGTAATGCAATCATAATGCACTGCAATTATTTACTAAACAAAAAAAAGTCAAAATAAAAAACAAAGGCATGTGCTTAACCATTCTTAAAATACTTTTTCAGTTTCTATCACTGAATGTTTACCTTTCTGTGTCTCATCTTGTCAATGTAACCTGCTTGAACACTTTTAACCTTTAAATTTTTAGGATTCAATCTTTATCTTTCTTGCAGCATTTATCATAATTCTTTGAGTATTAGAAATGCCCAGATTTCATAGGATGAATAAATTAACCCAAAGGTCAGCCCTTGCATATCTTTCAATTCCCAAGCTTTCTAGGGTCACATTTTTCTTTAATGTCTTAATAGGCTGGTGAAACTCACACCATTCTTCTTAGAATAATTCTGAAGGTTATAGGTTGGCAGAGGGCTCTATTTTCTCTGGTATCCTGTCACTTCAGTTCTTTTTCTTTGGACTCCTGCTATTGACTCTACTCTGTAGCTTTTCTCTAGAGGTTGCTATAATCTTGCTCTAGTGAATACTGTTTTACTGGCATCAGTGTTGTGTGATAGACTCTTTGCAATGGCTTAGAAAATAAAGGGGATTAAAGCATATCACAGCTTTTATGCATACAGCAATTACAAGCATTCATTGAGTGGTGGCACTGTGTTGGGTGCCAAAGAGACGGTAAAAGTCTCCATGATCATGACAGCAACACATGAAACCCACACAGACAGATGACACATGCGAGCTTGTAGCTGGAACTGTGATAGAGGAAAGGCTGACGGTGGATTCAGAAGTGCGGAAGTTCTGAATCTCAGAGCTGACATACTGATAGCTGAAGAATAAGTAGACATTGTCCACCCCTGAAACATACTTAGAGGGTGTAAAGAGAGGAGTGGGAGAAAGATTGACAGCATGTGCTGGCAAGCAGTCGTGAGGTAGGACGAGCCACACTACAGCGATTGCAGGGAAAAGCCTGTGTACCAAGGACACATATATCCAGGCCGGAAAGGGTGAGAAATGACTTTAGAGAAACCATGGTAAACTATCTTTAACAAATGCACTGCACAGTTATTATGAGATGTGATCTTCATCCCAAAATGCATGGGGAAATACTGAGATAGAAGATCATAGAAAAAAATTTCAGGCTCCAATGGAGAGGTAAGGATACAGTAAGCAAGCAGTGGTAGACACAGGGATTACAAAAACCAGACCTTAGTCCACAGGAGAGTGATGTTCAGGCAGAGGGGGGACAGTGAGGATGAAGATAATTACTAAGATCTGATAAGCACTGAACACCATGTAGAGCAACAGGACCTGGTACCGTAAGGAAAGCATGGGAAAGGGTCAGGAACGTAGTAGCATAATTAACAACTTGAATGAAACTCAGTATAAAACATTCTAGTCCAAAAGATTGGTTAGATTTCTCTTGGATATGGAGAATTTTCAGGGCCTATCTTTCCTCGGGCTTTTCCTTAATACTCTCTCTTTCAAAGCTCATCCTCTACTATATCTTTTTGTTTTACAAATATCTGGATAGCGCCATGTCTTCAGAACAACTTTAACAATGCAGTTATTATGTGGATAATTTGATACTAAATCTCCCTGAGCTTGGGGTCTAGCTTTATCCTGGCAACACCTTCATCAAGCTGTTGCTAAACTACCACAATCTCACCCTTAGTATTACGAATACCTTTGAAAAGTATTGAATCACACCATTTTCTCAGCATATCTTAGATCCAATTCTTGGCCTTAGGCTTCCATCAGAACTTCCAGTTTTGTAAGGCTGAGTGTGCGTCAGGCACTTAAGATCCTCATTAGGCACTGTCAACCTCATAGTTCCATGAACCCTTCAGATCCCTAACGTCTCATTTGCTACTGACCAGCTTTAGTATTTACATCCACCAAGTGAGTAAAGCCTTTCTGTTATTTCCTAGTTTCCCTACTATATGTCATGCTCTCCCCTCAAACATGTGTCCTGGTAACCCAAGAGAGCTTCCAGAAGCTCAGATCTAACATGTAGCAGGCTACCTAGAGTAAGTACTTGGTGTTAACAATGTAGAATGAAAACAATGAATAATGAATTATGATTTATAAATATCTGTTTCTAAGAGAGAAAAGAATATGCATACCTGACTTTGAATCTGCTTTTGTGCTCTTTTGAAGGGAACATCCTTCGCTCTCAGAACTTCCCATGTTTCCATATCCGGATTTCTTCACCAAAGCAGATAAAGAATTGGCAAAAGTGATTGACTATCATGTAAGTTTGACTTTTGTAAAGTAACATCAAAAGCTTTGTTCTTTAAATGCATTTTGGATCATAAAATGTAGTTCTTGGACTAAAATATTAACATGTAGCATTTAAAGTAGAGTCTTTATTGATCATTGCTAAACTTAATTATAGCTCACTATCTTTTACATAATGAGATGTACAAGATTCTCTACCATTCGGTGCCTTCACTGGATTACAGGAAACTTGGCCTTCTGTCATTCGTGCACTATTAGCTTAATCCAGTTTCCTGAATTAGTACTCATTTCTTGCGACAAGAACCTGATACTAAACACTGAACACTGATTTCTTCTGCAGTGCAGTTCTGATAATGGAACAAAAATCTTTTGACTCGAGTTTCAGTGATCATTCTTTACCCTTGACAGATCAGAAGGAATTTTAATTACTTTGGTATTAGCATGAGTAAAACAAGCAGTGATGATATAGAACTATTCACATAGGACACTTTAATCCATTCGGCTATATTTAGTTGATATTTTTTACCTAACGCATATCTTTTTATGTCTCATTTTTTTAAGCAGTAGAACTACAGTAAGAGAGACAGGCTATATCATCTTTTTTCTTCAAATACCATATGGATTTACTAGCACATAAAATGTGTTTAAATTAATTTTATCACCAGTAGCTCAATATTATCCACCACATTTTGATTATATTCCAGTATTAATTTTTCACATTTTATTTAGTTGGTCATCTCTTAAGAAAAAATAAGGGATTGTTTCCTTTACTGATCACATTGAATAGTTATTTCCACAAGCTTATATCTCGGCCACTTTAGCAATAGTTGTAAGTATTGGAGTTTGAGACTGATTGGTATCTTGAAATCACTGAGAGTTGTAATATTGTTCTGCTAGTCACTAATAAGCTACTTGCCAAAGAAATACATTATATTATAGGGGGGTCTCAAAAATGTATGTTTCATAAATTTCAACTTCTATATTTAACTACTTACTTTAACAAAGTGATCTTGAAAAGATTACAATGGGTAACAACATGCCAACATTACATATTTCGTGTACTATGTATATATATATATATATACATTATATGATGCATAGATTTTAGTACAAATCTACATGTAGAATTTACACACAAATCTTTGAGTGTATTAGGGATGCTTAATGCTACTTAACAAGACAGTGGGAAATATTCTGAGTAAGAGAGAAGACTTCTAAGATCACCTTTTGCTCCTTCCAAAGGTATAAGCATTATCTGGTAATCACTGCCACAGGGCTGCTTATATTGTAGCTTAAGGGGAAGAAATTCTGTCGGAAACTATGCTTGAAAACTTTATAAGATCTAAATTGATATGTAGCTTAATAAAAGAGTCTGTAGTGTTTATTTGAGAAGGTTTATGGAAGTGTCTCTGAGTATTATATTATTCATATAGTCATATCTATACCATTTGCTTTGAAATGAATAGAGAAGTAGTTCTTGGTATCTGAATTTTATATTTTGCAAAATACTCTTACAGTATTTGATTTAATCCTCACAACAATCCTGTAAAACATTTACCTGCAGGAAGAATAACAAAGAGGTTTACAGTTCAGGTACTTGCTCAAAGTTTTGAGGTTAGTTGCATGGCTATCTGTGCATCAAGCCAGATTTAGAGAGTTCTCATCTATTTTCCATTGCACTTTTTCATAGACTATCAGATTCTTAGTTTATGGTCCGTAATCAAAATTGGAGATCAGAGGATGGGGTCTATAATATTGACAAGAAACTAGAACACATCCCAAAAGTTACATGTACACTTCTCTCTCTAAGCCAACTGACTTTATTTGTGTGGCTGTAATATGCAAGGAATAGAGAGTTACTACACTGTCCAGAAGGTAATAAGGTACCTTGTACTTGATGCTAATCCCCAGCACAGTGAATGAACCAGTGAATGAAGGGAATGAATACACAAATAAATGGTGTTTCCACTTCCCATAAACTTCAAGAGTATTTTGATTTTCCTAGCTACCACACTGCAAGGAAAAGTTGAGATACTGCAACGATTTATCTAAATTGAACTAGTCATATTCATCCAAAATTTAAAAAAAAACAGCTTATTTTTTCCTAGCCACTGAAAAGGATTTGGATGTTATCTTAAATTCCAGGCATGCTAATTTACAAGGACAGATAAAAAGAGGAAAAGCTGTCTCCTGCACAGTAATAATATACTACCTCTTCTTGTCTGCATTTGTATGTATTGATGCATTTATAAATCAATTTGACTTGGAAAAGCAAGAAAGTATTTTACTGACAGTTTTTAAGATTTAATTCTCTGTTCACTTTTTACAATGTTAGACAAAGTACAAGGTACACTGAAATCTCTCAAATAAGACAATTAATTGTTTTTGTAGATGTTATCACTGCTATATCAACTACTACTTTTATACTGCCACATAAAATTTATAGTTTTTTAAAAGGACTAGATTATTATTTACTTAACTATATAGGAAAAACCTATATGTGATTATTGAGTATCACAGAATTTGTAGACTAAACTCAATAATGAATATTTACCTGTACCTGAATTTTCTCAATGTCTTATCTCAATTTTCTTTCTATTTCATGCAAAAAATTATTTCTGAGCAACCAATTACATGACTAATAATTGTGTGTAGATAGAATTTTAATACATTTCTTATGTCATTAAAATTTAGCTGAGATATATGATAAAGTCTACATGATATTATGCTTTGGTTTTTAATATTTATTCTTTAGTATTTAGACATTTCACACAATTGGGGTGCATGACATGTTATGGATTCTGAGGTTTAGTTCTGTTTATTTTTATGCATACAACTCAGATAACAAATAGTAATGATTCATAGTACCGTTACATACAGTTTTCTATAACTTGGATTTCATAGGTTTCTTGGCTCAGTCTGTTCGTTTGGGTACACATACCCACTTTCTGGGGGTGACAGAAAAAGTAGTGTTTGCAACATCCTGAGGCATTTCCAGTACTTTATATTAGGGGTCATTCTTCCTTGAACATTTTACTCAGCCTAAAGAGGATCTAACATACCTTTTCATCCCTTCCCTCATTAAATGTTTTCCAAGGGGGAAAAAGTTTCTCATGATAGTGTTTGGCATGTCATTATCATTGCTCTCAGCACTGATTATTCATTCCTAGGGTTCTTGACATCCAATATACTACTGCTGTTATGAATTAACATGGTCCGTTAAGATGTACCCCTTGGCAGTATTATTGCTGGTCGGTTGCAGAGTGAGCGTTTGCCTGGCTGTGAATCTAGTTTTTGGTCTCATGTGGAATAGTAGCACAACTTCTGCCTTTTATTTTAGTTTAAATCTTCCGTACGTTTTTGTTTTGCTTTAACTTGTTATTGCATTTTATGACCCATGCTGTCATATAAACATCAATATTGATGCAGAAAGTTAAAACTTTTAAGATATAGAAATGCAAACCTGTTACCTCTTCCTGTGAATGACTCCTTTTCTTTAAAATATTAAGGAACTGCTTTCTGCATTGGACTAGAATGTGTTCTAACAGGTGGCTCATGCATTTTTCTGTTGTGATAGAGTATAAGATTCCTGAAGAATATCTGTAAAAAGATTAAGAAGAAAACTGAATATAGGAATCTTCATTTTAAGAAGCTAAACATATATATTTTCATCAGAAATTGTATGCATAGTGAAATATTTTCCTCTGTAACAGTGGCAAAAAGAGCGGGAGATCCAACAAAGAGAAGATGCAATATGTGAAGCCGAAGAACAGAAAGAAAAAGAGTTACAGGAGAAAAAACACTTTGAAAAAGTTATGAAGCAAAGAGAAGAGAAGCTGCACAAACAAACCAAACCCTATGAGCTTCCTCCCAGGGCAGAAGTAATTTCGTTAGAAAAGAAAACCACTCACAAAAACACTGGGGTCTCCATGCCAGAAAGTTCTAGCACAGAAAATGTCAAGATAGCTACCTTCATGTTAGGAGAGCTTTCTCATAATTAATTTGAGGCTCTTTTCTGGAGAAACTAGTTTTTATCCTGGTGCAAGCTGTCTAATAGTCACTGATCAGTCTTACATTAACAGTCAGCTCCACTATAATCACATTTGAATGGTTTCACCAGTTGTAAATTTCCAAGACTACAGCTAGTGCTTCTCTCAATTGATTCTTCTCTTGTGAAATATAGTGTTCTCGATCAGCCATTCTCAGAGTGTTGATATTCACTAGGCTGTATCACAAAAATGAACTTCAAATTAATGAGTCCATGTATGAAAATTGTGTCTTGAAAATAGAGTTATCACTGTCTTAAATATCAGTAATTACTGTTATTCAAATAAAAGAACTCCTGGCATCTCTTTGGACTTGCGTTTTATGCCAAACTGAACCTTGGGTCAGGTACTTGAACTTGTTCAATTACTGTACATGAGCAAATCTGGAAGTGTCAGTCACCTCCAAATGGTTTGATCTTTCACAAATGCCAGAGGAAATCTCTGAGTGACAGTGATTTTTCTTTGCCTGAGGAGTTGATGAGAATGGATTTGTATGATGCTGGAAGGTTCAGTACCAACTATTGGAGGCATTTATCCAATCAGGAATTCTTTTAAAAATGGCATTTTACTTCACCTGAAGCTTTCAAACCTTGAGTAAAAGTAAAGGGGTGGGGTTCCTGTGAAGCCTTTTATTCCTTTTCTGAAAAAATATAGATAATTTATTTTCTACGTTTTCTTCAATTTTACACACATGGCTCAGTAATAGTCAAAAGACAAGTACCTTTTCAGGGTGTCAAGTGACTACACAGATGAGGGAGGTAACATAAATTAGTGAAAGAGGCTAGGGAACGCCTAACCTATCTAAAAATTGCCTAACACCTGACTACATTCTGAAATTTATGTCTGGCATTCTAAGATTGTTTAGTATTTCAAGAAGAAGCCTTCACATGGAATGTACATTTTTAAAATTGGAAGTTTCTAAGATTTCCAATGTTGACAAGTAATTTTAAAAAATTATACACTATCAGACCTGTATTATATGGGGTTGAGGAATGATTCTTTGTTTTATATAATGAAAACATGGTAGAAAACATGTTGGAAATAAGTTTCCGTTTCCCTTTCCTATGTAGTGATTCACACATGTTTTTCCTCCAAACGTTTTTCTTATCCTTGTGTACTCTGCTAGAGAATGTGAAAGTTATTAGTCATAGGGGCTGGGGATTTAGCTCAGTGGCAAAGCGCCTGCCTGTCAAGTGCAAGGTCGTGAGTTCGGTTCCCGGTACCGGAGAAAAAACAAAAACAAAAACAAAAAAAAAAACGAAAGTTATTAGTCATAAAGTCTCCCACATCTCCACATTTTTTCATCCATGTGTACTCTACCCATGTGTGAAAAAAATCGTTTTACGGAAGACCAACTTGCCTTGATATAGGAGAAATAAATGTAACTCCCAACCTGCTAGATGTCAGATGCACAGAGTTTGCGTTCCCCAGTATTGAAGAATGAATTCCAAGGAACAGTGGAGGGTAAGAGTAGGAAAATTTTAATGGAGAGAGAGATAGCTCCCAAGAGACAAGAGAGGATCTGAAAGTTGGTTGCTACAGACCCCACTTCACAGAGGAAGTTTTATAGAGCAAAATCACGAGGTGAGTACAAAATCATGAGGTGGGTACAATGTGGGGAAAAAAACCTGTGATCAACCAATAAGATTACAAGTATAGCTGCTTAGGTGATACTGATCCAGTGGAAAGCAGGTCACATAACAAGTGTACATGGAAAAAAACAAGGACCTTCCTTGGAAGAGATGAATCAAGAGATCCTGGTCTCCCAGCTGGGTGACTGATATCTATCCAGACTTTGTTGGGTTAGGTAATACTAATTACAGCATACTGCTTATTCTTCAGGGAGGCATGTAGGCCTGGTCATTCCTTCTTTATCTTGAGCCCTGCTCTTCAATAGATTTGCCTCCAGCCAGAGTTATAATGCATTTTCATCCTCTGCACTGGCTCCTTCAAGGGCCTAGTGTTGTTTACTGACTGTAATATTTCTACCTAACGTAGCTGTCTTTAATAGTCCCATTTCTCTGTATCCTATTCATTACAAAATCTTGTTTTATCAACTAGTCATTGTCTTTATTCTAGCTCCCACAATTTTCTGAGTATGTCCAAGGTGCTATCATTTTTCATCCTAACGGATTCACACACTTGTTGTAATAGCACTTTTGCTATCGTAGTAGTGGTGATTTGGAAGGGAGAGAAAAAAAGACCCAAATCTATATATAAGTGGAGAAAGGGAGAAAAAGAGGCAGCAGAGGAGAGATGATTAGAATCTTTACTTCTATATCATTAAAGCAGTTTTTAAAACTCAGCAGCACAATCTTTCACAGTTTCCTTTCTATTTTTCTGATGCTTCCTGAAATATTAGCAAAGATTGTGCTTGTAGATCAGGATCTACATTCCTGCTAGCTATGAAATAGTAGGCACGTTACGGGACCTCTTGCACTTCAGTTTGCTCATTTTACTTAAAAGAGAAAATTTATGTAAATGTTGGTATCAACCAGCAGCTAATTAAGAAAACAAATCTAATCGTCTTACCAGAATTTAATGTAAGAAATCTGTTTAAAAGTTGTTAAGTGAGCTGAGAAAATAAAAAGGAAACAGAAATAACATAGAAACAGTCACTGCAGGAAAGCGCTACCACCCCCAGAGCCACGGAATAGAAAAGTCTGAGTTATTAGAACCCAGAGTCTGGAGTAAATGCTTCATCAGTGAACTCAGATCTGTGGTGGGGGGAGGTTCCCAGGGGCATATTCTGGGAGTGCAGAAAAAAAAATAGAACTGGAAAAACAATGTCTGTTCCTGAAACCACACTTCCAGAAAGAACAAAAACATGTACAGAGTCAAATTTCTTCTTCTTTCCCATCCCCTTTGCCTGTTCTTGTTTCCCGGTGTCACAAAGCAGAGGAAAGAGGGCTGTGTTTGAAGTTGACACTGCTTAAATAAGTGGAAGGAACGTGCTGCACAGTGCGAAGAATGCATTAGACTATGCGGTAATGAAAGGTACTTTAATTTTGCATTTTAGATCCTCTGTTTTGCTTTTTCTGCAAGCTTTCTCCAGACAAGAAAATTAGAAAAAGAATAATTTTTTAACTACATGTAAATGGCTACCTTTACATTAATTAAAAAAAAAACTGCATTAGAGTTTATTTCCATAATCTTTAATTTTTCCCTTAACTACTTAACACAAGCTCAACTGGATTTCTTTGATGCTGTGTAAGTTACATTTAGTAATAACTTTACTTCAAAATTCATGAAGGGTTCTAGGAATCTCAGGCTAGGTTGGACACTGATGGAATCTTTTAGTTATTCATTTCTTGATCAATTTATGGCTTTTCAGCCTTTGCTATTTATTTTTGTATTTTTTCTACTTTAAACCGCCAGGAAGAAAAAAAAAAACAAGAAAGATCCCCCAGGTCTACCTGCCCTCTGTGGCTCTTGTTTACTGTAAATGCCCTTGCCCACAAGAAGTGCTAGCCTATCTCAGCTCTACATCTTTTGGTATGTAAAGTTCTTTCCATGCCACTTTATCATCCATGTTTACTTTTAATTTGAAAGAATAAATCAAGGTTTTCTTACATTTATTTATAGTGGAATTTCTTAGTAACCAAGTCATTTTTCCCACACAAAATACTCCATGTAACTTTTACCTTCTGAGAATAAATTTCTCATAAGCTTTTTAGCTAATTTCACTATATATTGGAAATTGAAAGGCGTATGTTAGGGAAAGTGAAGAAATAAATGATAAATAGTGCATTGTGAGAAAGATAATAAAAATGAGCACATTTCCTTATTTTAATTTTAAAATAAAGACAAATCAAGTGATTCATGAATGTTTGTGGCACATACCAGAGACAAATTTAAGGATGAAAACACCCCAAACAAATACACTTACTCTAGCATTGGTTAGCGTCTATTTAGAAACAGAGGAAGAGAACTAATAGACAAAATTAACATGAACAGTTTTAGAAACTATCTTAATGTATTGTTTTGGTTGATACGTTGTGTTAACTTGAACTCTAGGAGTTACTTCAACTTTACTTTAACTAAGTAACTCAGCAGTTCTACATCCTGGGGTGTAAAGGTTATGCCCTTTTGCCCTAGGATGTTGTTCATTGTGTTAATTTGAGAAGTTTAAAAGTTTAACTAAGTAACTCAGCAGGGGTCAAGGGTCCTTACTTGGTACACATCCTCAGCTTGTTGAAGAGGAGCGCACGGAGATGGTGTGGGCATGGATGGATAGCGGGGTGCATACAATATAAGGGAGGAAAAGAGGCTCACTTTCCATCCTTTTGCTCTTGTTGCTTTTGCTGTCTTTTGCCACCTTGAACTGCTGTCCCTGTGTCGTACCACCCTACCTTGGAGCCAGCTGATTATGGACTGAAACCTCCACAGACTGTGAGATAAATAAACCTTTCCTTCCTTAATTCTGGGCATTGGGTACTTTGTCTCAACAATGAGAGAAAAGTAACTAAGACATGTACTGAAATCATAATTCAGGTGATCGATTCTTCTGTTCCTACCAACTACAACCTTCTCTGTAACTGTTGACTAGTTAGTTATTTTCTGAATATTTTTTGTCTTTCTTTAAAATTTATCATAAAAACCTATAATGCATCATCAATAAATTCTTGCACAGTATTGCCTGAAACCTATAAAACAGTGAATACAATTCTTTCCTTTCATATATCACCATAATTATACCCATGTTTGTATACCTTGTTCTATAGCAGAGGTTTTTTCTGACATTTGGGGATGGAGAGTTATTTGATACAGAGGCATTGTGTGTATTTTAAGCTATTAAGGCAGCATCTTTGGTCTCTGTGCACCGGATGCCAATAACAGCCCCACCCCCTGAAACCCTCTCCATACCCCGCCGCAGGTTGTGACAATTAAAAATACCCCAGGAGACAAATATGCTCCTAGTTGAGAACAATAGTTCTGTGGTTTCACTGAACTTCCAAATTTCAAAGTTAGCAGCCTGAGGGTTGCTTTTGGGTTGCTTTCATATTTTGTCCAACTGTTTACACACAAAGCTCTATCTGGGTTAGGCAGTGACTCTCAATTAAAATCACCATGGGTCTCATAACGCCTCTTCATTCCTCTCACTTTTCAATTTTCTGCAGTGGGAACACGAATCAGAGCATCTCTACTAGATGTACTTGTGATTAATTGATAACTCTCATCACCTCCCCTCAGAACTAAAAACAAAAGATAGGGACACATGAAAATCTGCGCTGCGATGCCTAGTGGTAAATTCAGACCACATTGCACTTCTCAAACTTAGGTTGCCCGCTGGAGACTTATCTGTTTGTAAGTTTTCTTGCACCAGTTCTAGCTATTTTCTAACATAGGATATATTTGGAGACTTACAGCAAAATGCATTTTAAATTATCATCGGAATAACAAAAATTCATATATGTGTATAGTTTTGCAAATTCTGTTGATGATTTGGTTACTTTTGGGCTACATGCATTTTTCATGGTGACATTATTTCAAGGGTAATTTGACTCTAATGTTATTCAAGTTCACTTTTTCCTCTGTCATTCTAGCTAAGGGACCTATTTACATAATACCTAGTGCTTTGTTATTTTTTATTACTGCCTCATTGGAAAACCAAAAATAAACAGAAAGAAATGTATTTCCAAAGCCTTTTTTAAGTTATAGGACTTTGTGGTATCCAACTTTTCAGTGAAATTTCCCCAGCTGATCTATTTTGAGAAAACTAAATCTTCTTTTCGAGTTAGTGAGTAAGATAGAGTTCGAACATCTCAGAATCACCAGTGGAACTTTTTGTATATAATGGGCAGACGATTGCAATCCAGTAATGCTTTGAATAGTGCCTCCAATCATGAATAAGTGGAAAATTTGAATAGACCAAAACATCTCTAGAACCAGTATTCTATTTGGCTTCCCAGTAAAGTTCCATAATAAAAAATACTGACTAAAAGACTCAAAAGGTAGCTTTTTCAGTTTATCCCAGAGAGATTGCAGAAATAGCTACAGAGAAGGATAGATTTAAAGGTGATGGTAGCCACACTCGTTGTCTCACTGGAAGTGGGCAGGGTTTGTGAGGAGACCTGGTTCAGCAACATCTGGACAGAAAAGGAGCCTGAGCATACGGAGAAATTGGCACATCATGGCGAGGGGCCAGGAGGTATTATTATGAGTAATCATTTTCAATGACACTTGAAATCATTGGGGTGCAATGGTAAGAAATAACAGATGACAGGTGTCTGTTATTAGAGCACTGGGCTCAAGTGGCCAGTGAGAATTAGATATAGCTCAGGATATATTATTAAGAAAGCACACTAGTCCATTCATGCTACAGTAAAGGTCAAGGAGTCAGAGGATTTAGGGAAGGTTTAAGGACCTGGCTGCCTATCTACAGCCTCCCCAGGCTCTTTCCCTCATACATCCAAATGTCATGTTCAGGAGAGTAAAGGAAGGGGAACCTGAAAGGCAAAATTTCCCAGAGAAAACAAATTAGTATTTAAAAGATCTCTTAAGACTGTGAAAACAAGAGGGAGGAAATCAGAAGAGAAAGGATAACAGAGGGGAATGGGACAGAGGATGTGATCAAAGTGTGTTATATGCATGTGACAGAAGGCCACAGTGAAACCTGTGATGCTGTGTACTTAATAAGCCTTAATTTTTAAAAATCTGATTTCCTAGATTTGTATAACTTTACTCCTAAGCTAACCAGCAGAGGGAGCCTCACGAGGGAAAAATCTGTGGTGTTACAAAACTTCAGAAACTAAATATCCATTTTATATTAACTATCAATTCCATATTATACTTGTTAGTTTCTTACTATCCTGTTTTGAAACTCTGTATTATTATTTTCATTTCTTTTTTAAATCTTTCTTTAAACAAAAAAGTAAAATGTTGAAATTAAATTTGTATCCTGGAATGTATACTAACATAACAGTTCAACACATACCAGCATAACCAATGGTATATACATTCACTTATTCACTCACAAAATATTTATTAACCGTTGATTTTCAGAAACGTTCTCACTTACTGAGGATATATTTATCAACCAATGAACATGACAAAGTGTAGAATTCTGGATATTAAAAAAAGATGATTTGGATATAAAACAGGCAGCAAATAAAAGTATGATATACTTGAATTGCAGGTAGATGTACGTGAGAAACAGTAAACTAGGATAAAGAAAGAGTGCTAAGGGCAAGTTTGTTTTAGATAGGGTCAGCAAAGATGATGTTTGTCAAGATTTCAGCAAAGATTGGACCAAGTAGAGTAAAAACCAAGTCATCTTGCTTTCTGGGAAAAGATCGTTCCAGGCAAGGTAGACCGCAATTAAAATCCCCATAGAATGATAATTTGTACTTTTTTCTAAATAGTTCTTTCCTTCTTTGTATATATAATAGTATTATATTTTCTGGGCCTATTGTGTGGTGGTCACATGGCTAATTCTGGTCAATGATTATGAAGTTCATTACTTCTGGGCTGAAGGATTGGTTTGTTGATTTGAAACTTTACAGGTTGTTTTATTCTCTTCAGAACAGTGATTAATGTTCAAGATAGTGATTTCTTTCTTGCTTTTGGTTCCTTTAATAAAAATGATGGATCTGAGAAGACAAAGAATTTCAGTCTTATGAGTTGCAGATTTTGGAGTTACATACTCCTGCAAAATAACCCAGCCTGACATGAAAGGCAGTGAATTTAGCATATTTACAAAGAAAAACAAAGTATTCTGCACAGCTGGAGGTGAGGCCCCAGAGGGATGGGATGGAGATCAAATTTGAGAGGTAAATTGGATTCTGATAATGTAAACATGCAAGGCATAGTTTCAGATTTGAATTTTTACTGGCAGTAGTGGGAAGTTATTATAAGGAGATGACAAAACAAACAAGCAAATAAACAACTTTAACCTATTCTACTGTAATGCTTTGAAAACTGTTTCAAAACAAACTTTTCTTTTAAGGTGATATTAATACAACATGGATTTAGTACATTTTGCCAACAACTTAGCA